ACCGCCTGTGCGACACACGGGAGCGAGGCTAAGAGAGGGGCGAGTGAGCCGCGGCGGACGCCAGCCGGAGGCCCAAGCGCCAAGAGAAGAGGAAAAGCGGCACGGAGAGGGGCCTCACTCACCATGGCTCACTGTCGCTGTGCTGGGTGTGCCCGCCCTCGAACACGTAACGAAGGGCGACCCAGTCAGTGAACACGAGATAACGCCACTTCCAGCCTGTGACCCCTGCGTGCATAACGTATGCGGCTCTCAAGTCCGGGGGCACAACGTTGCGATCGCCGACAGAGGCAGATGCGACACAGGAAGGGGGGAACGGTCATGACCTGCAGAAGGATGAACCACTCGTTTAAGACCCTTCCCTAGTGTGGCCCGTCGTCCGGTAGCACCGGAAGGGAGGCTAAGGACACGCCAGTCTCCACCTCACCCGAAGCCAAAACGACGTTCTGGTAGCGCCATGACCAGGTCCACGTAGATCAGGGCGATACGCAGTTGGGGTTGGCATGCCTGCCGCTGAGCGCGTTGTCCACAGGGAGGGGCTGACCCCACACCATTGCAGCATCACGATAGCGTACGCAGGCTGGCAGCCAGCCGAAAGCCAGTAACCACATCATAATCGGCCCGCGGAGTCCAGGGGCCCACCGATGTGACGTCCTGATGGGGGCAGGGCGCGTGGCTGCGCCGAGCAACCACCTGTCCGCTGGGGGCTGCACCACGCGATACAGGCCGCTCGGCGGCGTGGTGCCTGGTATCACTCCCATTCCATCAGCCACGATGTCCCTGCGCAGAGTGGGTGCAGTCGTGGCAGAAGTAGGCAGACTGTGACAGGAGCCTGTCCACAGGTCAGTGTGCTGCCCTGCTGGGTTGGTCGACTCTGTCTGCACCCAGATCACAGTGTCCTCTCACAACGCAGGGGGCGCAGCCAAGAGCCGCAGAGACTTGTGAATGAACGTGGGGGTGCATCCAGATGCCGCTGGGCACCAGTGCTGCGCTCAGGGCATCCACGCATGGCCCGAACCAAGGCGGAATCACTTCAACGGACACAGCACACTATTGGTGGGGTTACGCGAAGCGTCTAGAATGACTTGTTCACGTTACCTGTCGTTCTTGGGTCCCATGGTTTGAAGAGCTCTTGGGTCGTCTTGGGAGTGAGGTATGTGTGCTATCCGCGGTTGGGCCCGCTACGCATCTTCCCAGGATCCCCTCCCTAGAAGGTTCCGCCCCACCAGCAATTCATCACTCGCCTTGCTCTTTCCTTCACCTGGTGCTCTTGGGAGCCTTGGCGTCAAAATTGGTCTGTCTGGGAGGGGGGGGTTCCTCCGGGGGCCCTGAGGGGCGTCTTGGGCCCTCTAGGGCCATTCTGGGGCCCTCTTGGACCGTCCTGGGGGGCTTGGGTCGTCTTCGGGCCCTTTTGGGGCTCTCTTCGGCCCTCTTGGCGGCCTCCAGCGGCACTCTGTGTGGCAGTCCTGGGCCGTCTTGGGTCCTGGGCCGTCTCGGGGCTATCCTGGAGGCCCTTAGAGCCGTCTTCGGCCGATTTGGGCCCGAAAAGGCGATAGCCCAACCATCCATGAAAAAAACAACAGGACATCAATGTTTTTTTGCCTCCTCAGGCCGTCGTGGGGGCCCTCTTGGGATCTTGGACCGTCTCGAGGCCATCTTAGGCCATCGTGGAGTGCTCTTCGGCGGTCTTGGGCTTGGGCTCTCTTGGAGCGCTCCTGGGCCGTGTAGGAACCCTCTTGGATCTCTCTTGGGCCGCTAAGGGGGGCTTTTGGTCGCTTCTGTGGGCCTCTTGGGCAATCGGGGGGGGGCAACTGTCGCTGGCCGGGTCGCGCTTCGCCCCTCCCCCTGGAACCTCTTCCTAGAGAGCTTCGCCACACCAGAACGTCATCATTCGTACCTCGCTTTTTCCGTCATGCTTTTCTGCGGTCTGGGATGTTTTTTAAATCTTTCTAGGGCCGCCCCCCTTCCCGCAAGCGTGGTTCAAACATCACCTTTCCCAAATCTGCTCTCCAGCGCTCTTTTTGGCCTCCAGATGGCCAAGAGGGTATCCAGGACGGCCTCCAAGATGGCGAAGACGATACCAAAAAGGCCCAAGACGGTCCAAGAAGCTCCCAAGACGGCTTGAAGAGGCCTTCCAGGAGAGCCCGAGCATATTGACTTTTCCAGGATTTTGGCAGATTTTGAATTTCTCGCCTGTTTCGGTTTGCGACCGCCCAATGCGGCCCAATAGGCGTCCAACATAGCTCCAAGGCAGCTGACGAGGTTCCCAAGAGTGCCCAAAGTCGGCCGAAGATGACCTTAAGATCGCCCAAGAGAGATCCAAGAGGGCCCTAAGAAGGCCCTGAAACGCTCCAAGAGGGCACCAAAACGACCCAGACAGGCCCCCAAGACGGCCTCCGAAGGCGTCTGACGGGCTAATAGCCCTCTGAGAGGCCCCAAGAGGCCTCCAGAGGCATCCGAGGAGGCTTTCGGCAGATTTTGAGTTCTCACCTGTGTGTGTGTGTGTGTGGTTATCCGACCGCCAAAGGCGGCCCAATAGCCCTCCAAGATAGCTCCAAGACAGCCCCTGAGGCCCCTGAAGAGGGCCACAGGTCGGCACAACAGGACCCCAAGATCGCCCAAGAGCCTGCCAATAAGGCCCCGAAGCGTTCCGAGAGGGCACCAAGACAGCCCAGAGAGGCCCCCCAGACAGCCTCCGAAGGCGTCAGACGGATCAAGAGCCCCCTGAGACGGCCCAAGAGGCCCAAGAGGCTCCCAGAGGCATCCGAAGAGGTGACACAACTCTTTTTTTGTTCCCAAGAACAGAATATCTATATATATATATATATATGTATATGTATATATTTATATATATATATATATATATATATATGTAAAGAAAAAAACGATTTTGGGGTTCTCACCTGTGTATGGGTTTCCGACCTCCAAAGACGGCCCGATAGCCCTCCAAGATAGCTCCAAGGCAGCCCAGGAGGCCCCCCAAAAGTGGGCGCCAAGTCGGCTCAAGAGGACCCCAAGATTGCCCAATAGCCTGCCAAGAAGGCCCCAACACGCTCCAAGAGGGCACCACGACGGCCCAGAAAGGCCTCCCAGACAGCCTCCGAAGGCGTCAGACGGGCCAAGAGTCCCCCAAGACGGCAAAAGAGGCCCCAAGAAGCCCCAAAGAGGCCTCCAAGAGGCCTCCAAGAGGCTCCCAGAAAGGCCCCAAGAGGCCCCCATCAGGCTCCCGGGAGGCCCCCAGAGAGCCCCTAAGAAGTCGTCTCCTCTTTTTCTTCATTTCTCCCTCTCCTCCTCATCCTGATCCCCATTCTGCTCCTCCCTACCGCGCGGACGAATAGTCGATTTCACGACCCGCCTCAGTTCAGACCGCTCGCTGAAGTGCAGCGGGGCGTAAATTCGACCTACCCCCTACCGCGCGACGAAGACGAGGTCGAATGCACGACCCGTCCTAATTCAGACCAATCGTCGGAATTGCGCTGTGCCTGCACTCAATCTCCTTTCAGCCGCGCTGCTGCACAAACACGGTGGCGGGGTTTACCGTATGAAGCCGGAAATTATGCATCAATGGTGCAATGACTCACAGATTGGGGTCCGCCCTGGCACACATATGAACCACTAATTGTTTTCACGGATACCCCGTTCAGATTTCGCGCGCGCGCTTCTTCATCCTCCTTCTCATAAAAACCATGGTCATCATCATCGCAAGCGTTACTACAGTCATCGTCATCACATTCACCATCGTCGTCATCACCACCGTGGCCATCATCATCGCCATCGACATCGGCGCTGTCGTCGTCCTCGTCCTCCTCCCCACCACCGTCGCCATCATCACCATCACCATCACCAGCACCATCATCACTATCATCACCACTCATCAGCATCATCACATCAAGACAGTGTCATCATCATCGTCATCATCACCCTCATCATCATCATCATCATCATCATCACCATCGCCATCACCACCACCACCATTGTCATCATCATCATCATCATCATCATCATCATCATCATCATCATCATCATCATTCTCAGCATCATCACTATTATCATCAAAATCGCCATCACCATCATCATCACCAGTGCCATCACCACCCCCATCACCATCTCTATCACCACCATCATCACCATCACTATCATGATCCTGATCATGATGATGATGATCATCATCACCATCACCATCACCAGCACCATCATCACTATCACCACCACCACCACCACCACCACCATCATCATCATCATCATCATCATCATCATCATCATCATCATCATCATCATCATCATCATCATCACCGTTAACCTTATCACCATTATCATCATAATTGTCATCATCATCACCATCTTCACCATCATCATTTTCTTCTTATTCTTCTTCTTCCTCATCATCATCATCATCATCAACATCACCATCAACATCATCATCGTCGTCGTTGTCGTCGTCGTCGTCTATGTCGCTATTGCCATTTTCACCAGCCCGCCCGAGCCATGGATGTGCTCGGGGAGGGTCCTCGCGTCATTGCGCCGGTTGAATTTGCTCACAAGTTGCGGGTGGGTGAGTGGGATGTTTGTTCTAGCATGGGAGGTGGCTATGCGGGGGTGTCAACAAAAGTGGACCATCTCCTATACCTACACCTTCCACTGCACCTCCCGAAGCCGCTGTAACTCCCTAATCCTCATCCTCCTCGTCCTCCCGCTCCTTGTTGTCGCCATCCGCCTAACTTCGATGCCGAACACGACCCCTGTTGTCGGAGAACAGTGAACACTCACTGGATCTGCGTGCTGCTAAGCTTCGACTCGAAGGATGAGCAACATATGCTGTTCGGTATGCAGAGCTCTCTCCACGTGCTCCGATGGCTCGACTACTCTACTAAGTGTAAGTGCAACAGCTGAAGGCCAGAGGAAAGTGAAACATCGAGGTTGCGACCGATGCAAGCCATCACAGTCTAACGGAACGTGGAGAGAGGATATGGGAACAGGGCATGGACGGACCTAGAATCATGAGCGAGGTGCGGAAGTACGGGGCTACTAGATCTGAAACCAAAGAAGAACAGACAGTGTGCAAAAGGTTCGCGGCTCTACACAGCGGCTGTCAGGTTCTCCCTGCACGTTTCTTGAAGCTCGATGACGTACTCTGGGTAGATCTGAGGTCCTTTTGTCACGACGAACTCGCGCGCCCCCCTCCTCTCGGGGTTCGCGAGGACGGCGTCCTTACCCGCGGCCGCCATGTTGCTCACAGCGTCTGGCTCCGACTTCGCCTCCGTGTAGAAGAGGTCGCCGCAGAGTACCCGGCAGAGGATGACAACCTTGATGCCTCCCTGCATCTTGGCGTAGACGAGGTTCATGGCCATGTCCTCGGAGTACGCGCGGGGCACCCTCTGGCCGTCGTGGGCTTGGGCGTTGCCCAAAACCTTGGACAGGTCCTCCACGAAGTACACGCCCACCCCGAAGCGGCCAGGCGCGCCCTCCGCCAAGTGCACCATGGCCGCGGCCCCGTCGTTCGCGACCCACTCCGCGTCCTTTGGGGAGATGCCGTGCCAGAGCAGGCACTCGTTCAGGTCGCGGTCCAGGGTGGGCATCGGGATCACCTGCCAAGATGGCGCATACACTTCGGTCGGGCATGTCCCCCCCTATACAGGAGGATCTTGGACGAGAAACAAAACAGGCTCCAACCACAATGCCCCCCCCATATGCCCCCCGAACAGTGAAACAGTCGTCCCCAAACAATTCTGTTGGCTGCTTCTGAATCCTCCTCCTGTAGAGGGGCACGCCCGACTGACGCCCACGCGCCGCCGCCGCTGTGCCTGGCCAGGGCCACCCCGGGCCCCGGGCGCGATCCGCGCGCCCTTTCCTAGCCGAGGCCAGCAGGGGCTGCGCACCACCCCGCGGCCCAGGGTGGCCCCGGCCAGGCACGGAGGGTGCGCGCCGCCTTGGAGCCGACGCCGCGAGAAGAGCTGCGAGCCGCGAGAAGTCTCGAACGCGGCCCCGGACTTGGAAGGTCCGGGGTTCGCTAGGGCCCTGGCTTCCTTTCGAAACAAGCGAAGCCCTCCCGAGACCACCCGAAGAGCCTCCGCGAAGGGTTCCCGGAGGGCTTTCGGAGGGTTTCGGGAGGGCCTTGGAGGGGTCTCCGTCATTTTGGGAGGAGGCCAGTCCCTAGCGAACCCTGGGCTTTCTGGCCCTAGACCCCACCCTTCGGCGGCGCGTCTCGGGCCGCGTCGATCTGTGATGGCCTCTGGGCCCGAAGCCAGGCGAGCACGCCCGGCGCGAAACGTTCGCGGCTCCCAGATCTCGGGGGCGCAGGGTACCCTCTGCGGATGACACCTGCCCCGCCGCCTCCACCTCCCCGTGGACGGCGGCGAACGCCCGCCAGCTGTCCGGGTGGCCGTCGAGCTCGTGGGCGTGCTGGCAGCGGCGTGGCTGCCACTCGGAAGAGTCCCTGGAGCCGGGCTCTGCCTCGGAGGGAGTCCCGGGCGGGCTCTCGGGGCGCCTGCGCTTCCAGGCCTTCCTCAGGCCGCTGTACCTCTTCCAATCCTGGAGGGCAGACAAGTCGGCATTTTTTTGCAAGGGATACGCAGCAGGGTGGAGGCGAAATACACTTCTTTTGCAAGCGATGCGCATCAGGGTGCAAAACGACATATCTTTGTGAGTGGTACGCATCATGGTGCAAGCGAAATGCAAAGTGGCAGCGAGATGCAGCAGGGTGAAAGCGAAACACACTTGTTCCACATGCACCGACGCTGGACTGGTCCATCCTGGGCCAAGGATCGGTGCATACGCCCTCCTGGCTCGGCCAGGGAGACATGTGCACCGATCCTGGGCCCAGGATGGGCCTGGCGATGGGCCTGGCCAAGATCGGTGCATGTGCACATTGTTCATCACCCGAAATCCGCGGACAACTCCAACCGCCTGGCGCGCAGGACCGTGAGTGTCACGCCCGGGTTCGAGTTCGCTGCCTCCACGAGCCTCTGCAGTATCCCCAGGGCGCCTCGGCCCAGCTCGAACTGGTCGCCGAAGAAGACCTTGTCTGGGTCCTTGTGGGCGTTCCGCCAGTACACGGGATGTTGCATAAAGTACGGCTGCGACACCAGCGCTCTCAGACTAGCCTCGTCGGTCGTCTCGTACGCGCGCGAGTAGATGACGAGATATTCGGGGTACATTTGGTCAACATCGTAGACAACAAATTCGCGAAATGTGCCCGCGGACACCTGGCGATCCCCCACCGTGGAGTCAAACTTGCCCTCAAGCTTCGTTCGAGAGATTGCCGAAAGGTCTCGAGTGGTGGTGTAGCCCGCTGGCCCCCTATGTGGGGGCCCTGAAGGCCCCAGGAGGATGACGGAGCCCTTGATGCCTGCCTGGGGCAGGATGACGGAGGTGGAGGAGGAGGGAGCTGGATGGGGGAGGGGGGGAGGGGGGATGGAGTATGGGGGGCGTAGTGTTCCTCTTCGGTCATTGGACTCCCTCTCCCAAGCCTTCGTGCAAAGCCTTTGTCCACTGCGCTTCGGTTCGACACTGCCTCCAAGGGACCACCTAACTACCCAAGATGACTCCAAGACGGCCTAAGAGGCCCGCATGATGGACCAGAGACCAGCCAGGAGCCCTCCAAGACGGGCCGCAGGCACTCAAGAAACGCCCAGTATGAAGGGGAACTGGGACACACAATTACAATGTGACGTACCCAACCCATTTGTATCAATGGAAACGAGGAGTTGGCCGAAACTTGTATGGACAATCAACTTGATGTGTAAGCTACTTGAGAGGCGTCACTGTGCTGGGCCCCGCAAGCAGGCCTCGAAAGTGGCGACAGTTTCACAGATCGCAGCCCCCCCAGGGATGGCGAGGTCTAATTTGAATCTGCGTGTGGCGTCACTGTGCTGGGCCCCGTAAGCAGGCCTCGAAAGTGGCGACAGCTTCACAGATCGCAGCCCCCCAGGGATGGCGAGGTCTAATTTGAATCTGCGTGTGGCGTCACTGTGCTGGGCCCCATCAGCAGGCCTCGAAACTGGCGACAGTTTCACAGATCGCAGCCCCCTAGGGATTGCGAGGTCTAATTTGAATCTGCGTGTGGGTACCCACTGTGCTGGGCCCCTCAGCAGCCCTCGAAAGTGGCGACAGTTTCACAGATCGCAGCCCCCCAGGGATGGCGAGGTTCAGTTTGAGTCTGCGGTGGGTACCCACTGTGCTGGGCCTCCCAGCAAGCCTCGAAAGTGGCGACAGTTTCACAGATCGCACCCCCCAGGGATGGCGAGGTCTAATTTGACTCCGCGGTGAGTACCCACTGTGCTGGGCCCCTCAGCAGCCCTCGAAAGTGGCGACAGTTTCACATATCGCAGCCCCCCAGGGATGGCGAGGTCCCATTTGAGTCTGCCGTGAGTACCCACTGTGCTGGGCCCCTCAGCAGCCCTCGAAAGTGGCGACAGTTTACAGATCGCAGCCCCCCAAGGATGGCGAGGTCTAATTTGAGTCTGCGGTGAGTACCCACTGTGCTGGGCCCCCCAGCAGGCCTCGAAAGTGGCGACAGTTTCACAGATCGCAACCCCCCCAAGTATGGCGAGGTCACATTTGAATCTGCGTGTGGGTACCCACTGTGCTGGGCCCCTCAGCAGCCCTCGAAAGTGGCGACAGTTTCACAGATCGCAGCCCCCCACGGATGGCGAGGTCCCATTTGAATCTGCCGTGAGTACCCACTGTGCTGGGCCCCCCAGCAGGCCTCGAAAATGGCGACCGTTTCACAGAACGCAGCCCCCCGGGGATGGCGAGGTCCCATTTGAGTCTGCCGTGGGTACCCACTGTGCTGGGCCCCCCAGCAAGCCCCAAAGTGGCGACCGTTTCACAGATCGCAGCCCCCCAGGGATGGCGAGGTCCCATTTGAGTCCGCGGTGAGTACCCACTGTGCTGGGCCCCCCCCAGCAGGCCTCGAAAGTGGCGACAGTTTCACAGATCGCGGCCCCTCAAGGATGGCGAGGTCTCATTTCAGTCTGCCGTGAATACCCACTGTGCTGGGCCCCCCCAGCAGGCCTCGAATGTGGCGACAGTTTCACAGATCGCAGCCCCCCAGGGATGGCGAGGTCCCATTTGAATCTGCCGTGAGTACCCACTGTGCTGGGCCCCCGCAAGCAGGCATCGAAAGTGGCGGCAGTTTCACAGATCGCAGCCCCCCAGGGCTGGCGAGGTCACATTTGAATCTGCCGTAAGTACCCACTGTGCTGGGCCCCCCAGCAGGCCTCGAAAGTGGCGGCAGTTTCACAGATCGCAGCCCCCCAGGGCTGGCGAGGTCACATTTGAGTCTGCCGTGAGTACCCACTGTGCTGGGCCCCCCAGCAAGCCTCGAAAGTGGCGACAGTTTCGCAGATCGCAGCCCCCCAGGGGTGGCGAGGTCACATTTGAATCTGCCGTGAGTACCCACTCTGCTGGGCCCCCCAGCAGGCCTCGAAAGTGGTGACAGTTTCACAGATCGCAGCCCCCCAGGGATGGCGAGGTCCGATTTGAGTCTGCCGTGAATACCCTCTGTGCTGTGCCCCCCAGCAGGCTTCGAAAATGGCGACAGTTTCACAGATCGCAGCCCCCCAGGGATGGCGAGGTCTCATTTGAGTCTGCCGTGAGTACCCACTTTGCTGGGCCCCCCCGCAGGACTCGAAAGTGGCGACAGTTTCACAGATCGCAGCCCCCCAGGGATGGCGAGGTCCCATTTGAGTCTGCCGTGAGTGCCCACTGTGCTGGGCCCCCCAGCAGGCCTCGAAAGTGGCGACAGTTTCAGAGATCGCAGCCCCCCAGGGATGGCGAGGTCCCATTTGAGTCTGCCGTGAGTACCCACTGTGCTGGGCTCCCCAGCCGGCCTCGAAAGTGGCGACAGTTTCACAGATCGCAGCCCCCCAGCTGGCACGCAGCGACGAGCGAGGCGAAAGGCAAGGGGGAAAAGAGGGGCGGGAGGGGGCGGGAAGGAAGGAAGGAAGTAAGGAAGGCGACGCGCGAGCAGTGCTCTATTCAAAACGAGAACCCAACGCAGGAGGGTTGGAAAATAAATACACACAAATAAAAAGGTCCTCGATATTTCTCCATATTTTCTGGGTTTCTGTCTTCCCCGCCACTTCCCATATTTTCCAATATTTTTTGGGGGAATCGCAGTTTTTTTTTTTTTGTTCTTTTTTTTTTGTGTGTGTTTTTTTTTTCCCTGAAGTCAGAGGAGCCGCAGAGGCCCAAAGTGATTCCACGAGAGCCCAGATAAGGGACCAAAGCGAGCCCCAGCATGGCCGAGAAGCCCAGGACGGCCGCTTCCGAGGCGGCCGAGTCGGGTCTCCAAGTGCGCCGCGGCAGCGCACGAGCCCCCTGGGTTTGCACACCGTGTCTCCAAGAAGCTTGTGATACGTGGCCGAAATTAGGGACAAAAACAAACCTACCTCGCTTTTGACCACCCTCGCTTCCAAGAGATACCAAACGATGCCAAATTGCAGCCTGTACTGGTCAGGCCGCTTGACGAGGAGGCGCGTGGTATGGCTTGGCTTTGCCTGGAAGCGAAAGCGGGGTAGGAAATTCACGCTCTGAGAAATAGCTTACAAGGCCGTCAAGATGGTCACAAGGGCACACATCTAGAGGATTTCAAAAAAGACGCAAACATCAACTTTCCGTTGGCCCGCGCGGATATGATGGATCTGCGCTGACCCCACCTGGAGCGAGGAGCGCGCCAGTGGCGGCGCAGGAAGCGCCGCCCGGGGTTTCCAGCACAGATCCCAGAAATCCTCGCGGAGCTGCGACAGTCTATGATTATGCATATTTCTTCTTCGAGGGGCGCCCCACAAAACCACAAGAGGCCCCCCAGTTGCCCCCATAATGGTATCAGAAGCACACAGTTCATGATCTCGGCCAAGTTCAGGCTCGACGTGGGGCAGCGCACGACTTCACAAGGGCCTCGGGCGGCGGTGACTCGCAGGAAGCGTCTTCGATAAAACTTCCCCATGCAGACGCGGCACCTCCATCTGCTCCCCCTCTTCCTCCCTCCCCTTCCAACTCTTCCTCGCCGTCCTCCCCGTCCTCGCGCATCCTCCTCCCCGTCCTCCCCGTCCTCGCGCATCCTCCTCGCGCGTCCCCGTCCCTCCCCGTCCTCCCCTTCTTCCTCGCCGTCCTCCCCTCCCCTTCCAACTCCTCCTCGCCGTGCTCCTCGTCCTCGCGCAGCCTCCTCCCAGTGGTCCCTGGTTCCTGACGGCCTGAAGGTTCGTCGAACGCGGCCTCCCCCCCAGGGCCAGTCGGGCCCGGGGGGCTGATCAAACCAGGCAGCCAGGCGCATGATGCCACTGGTTGCAGGAGATGATTCGTAAAAGGACAAAGGGGAACAGACAGGAGGAGGGGAGAAGGGAGAGAGCACCGTAGCCGCTGCCTCAATCTCCCCCTCCTTATCCTCCCTAAACCCCCAGAGGTCTCGACCCCTTCCCCAGGACCAGCTTTTCATCTTCCGTCGTTCTTAGACTCTCCCGAGGCCCAGTGGGGGCCTCCGGAGGCCGAAAATAGCCAAAAACCTCCCGTCGTGATTTTTTCACAACGCGAGGGGGTCTGGGTCCCTTGACCGGCACTGGCAACTGCGAGCTCCACATCGGCGCGGACCATTGCTGCGGGCTGCGCGGGCCCGCTCGGCTTACGCAACAGGACGATCTCCTCTTGATAGTTACCGCGTGGGGCATCCGCCTCACCGGTACCGCAAGCCCCTGCCGGCACTGTTACGGGAGCGGCCAAGAGGGGGGTGTCCAAGAGGGGGGGGTGCAAATCATGACCGGCGGCATTTGCGCGGCCCAGCGGGGGGGCCAGGAACGTAATGAAACAAGAAGAGGCGCCATGAAATCTGGGGAAATATCATGGCCCCCGCCATGATATCCACCCTCCCCCTAGTCATCACCCCCCTCTTTTCCGCCCCCGAACGGTTACTGGCCGCCGCCTTGCCGGTCACCGCGGACTTGCCGGTCACTGGGCCCCTGCTGGGACCGCCGAGACACACAATCCTGGCCATTGCTCGGACGTCCATTCCCCGTGCTTTTTGGCGCTTTCGTGCGTGGCTTTTTCGCCAGATGATCAAGGATGCTCCTCGATGGTCCTCGCCGAAGGCAAAATGCACACGTCCGAGCGTAAGGGGTTACTGGCCGCCGCCTTGCCGGTCACCGCGGACTTGCCGGCCGCTGGGCCCCTGCTGGGACCGCCGAGGAGCGGAGGAGGAGCTCAAGGCGGGGACGGGGTCCCTACCAGGGTGAGTTCTTCGTTCCCCTTCGTTCGGCTCTCCCCACACGCGGCTGCCGCCATGGCGCCTTCACG